ACCTAATTAGTGCTGCGTCGCGACGAGGTGCGAAGTGACCTCAAATTTTGGCACCTAATTAGTGCTGCCTCGCGACTAGGCGCCAGCTACCTGTGGGCGAGACGCGCCGTACATGTCCATAACGGTGCAAAAGATAGGCGGAAGGGAGGAAGGTGATTTCAGATAAAATGTGATTATTCATTCATTATTACTACTTTTCAATCTTCTGACTCCTGTGAACAAATCAAAGTAAAATTGATGTTCATATTTATTATTATTACTCTTACTATTATTATTATTATATTATATTTCACCATGTATATATATATTATATGAAGAATGTCTAGATACATAACTAAGAAGTCTATATAGTTGCTTGTGAGATTTACACATATTTTGGATATTTTTTGTGTTCGCTCACTGATTTTCCTAACCAAGCTAGAACGTATACTGGCTAATAATGATAATGAATAATAATAACAATGATAATAGTAAGCAGTAATAGTAGTATAGTAATAATATTAAATATGGACATCAATTTTATTTTGGTTTGCTCACAGGAGTCAGAAGATTGAAAAGTAGTAATAATGAATGAATAATCACATTTTATCTTACCTTTTTCCTTTCCGAAATCGCTATTCGCCAATCTTTTGCACCGTTATGTCCTACGCCCCACAGGCAGGGTCAACCCTGCGTTGCGCAAAGAACAACGAGGGGGTCGTATTCAGCCGACCGAAAAGGGAGGGGGTCGTATCCACAAACGGGCTGCAAGACGGCTTGAAAAGTGCAGTGTCCGGGAGTGCACTTTCAGCCTCTAATGTTCTCCAGGAGCTCTGCACGCTGTCGGAGAGTCACACAGACATGAGCTCCATGGGAGCATTAAAGCATGCAGAGCACTATAAGTCTCACCATCAGCTTATTATCCTTAAGCGACGCTATCCGGACGGCGCTTTTGCTCCGCGGCATAGATCAAGAGTACAATAGACAATAGCCAAAAACTTTGTTACAGTGTAGTGCAAAAACATGGTCTGTCTTCGATGATGGAACATTCCTGAAATCCCGAGGAGAACAAGTGTAGAGAAATGAGAGTGCCATATAACAGCACAATACAACTCAATCAGGATACTAACACCTTCTTCAGGAAAACAGAAGACTTTCAAATGCGAGTGCGAATTCTGCCCACAGATAGGTGCACGGCGTATACCCGAGCAGGCGTTTTCCATAAAAACGCCTTCTGTCAGCGGCCGTAAGCAGACAAACTTTCTGAAGAGAGTTTCGATGCTTTCAAATAAAATCTAAGCGAAACAAAGTGTAGCGAATTTGCTGAATTGAGTTCTAGAGACGCCGTAGGAAAATTGAGGCAGAAGAAAAAATTTCAGGAAAATTTCACAGTTGTTATGAAGTACTCTTCGAGTGGATTCCAACAATCTTTACCGCTTCTCATCACATTAATTTCAAAGGAAGTTATGGGCCTTTAAAGACTGCATAGTCGCGGTCCAGGAAAAAGGCTTGAAAAAAATCAAGGTGGAATTGACGGAACAACGGGACTATTTTTTGAGCGAGTGATTATTTCAAGAAGTTTTAGCACTTATTCGAAAGCTCTAATCCTCTAGTTTCTAATTAGCCTTAGACATCTGCAAAATGTTGAGTATGAAGAAAGTTATTAACGTTTGAATGTCGAAAACTCGCGCCTTCTCAAAAATCGGACCCCAAACCACCCAAGAACGGAACAACGGGACTATTTTTTGAAAAAATGATCGCTGGAAAATTTTCAGGCTTGTTCGAAAGCTCTAATCTTCTAGTTTCTAATTAGCCTTAGACATTTGCAAAAAGTTGATTATGAAGAAAGTTATGAATGTTTGAATGTCAAAAACTCGCGTGTGCACAGAAAACGGAACAACGGGACGATTTTTTGAAATATTGAACATCCACAACATTTCAAATACTCCTCAGGAAGAAAACTATTTATATTTTTAAAATTTTTGTGTCCGATTTCATGAAACAGCTTCTGAAAGAAAATATAACCTTCTGAATGGAGGGGTTTGGATTGCAATGTAATTGCTACAAGGTTTAGTTTTTCAGATTATAAGTAAGGAAAGTTGAGAGATCGAAAAAATCCTGGTGGGTTTCTGAAAGTAGAAATCTTTACGATTAAAATGATGTATTGGTTTACGCAAAAATTTGGAAATTCCTTCTATTTAATGAATAAAACTTCATTTGCCTCGATTCCTCCTCTGAGCGAGACAAAGCGCGCGGATTGACCACGGTCCACCACTTCTCCATGTTGGTGACTGCCATCATTGATGAGCATTGATGAGCATTAAATTATGTGAAAGACATGATCCTACTATATATAATTCGCTAAGTATGTCTGTGTGTGTAGGTCTGTGTGTGTGTGTGTGTTTGTCACGAAATTCGTAGCTCGGGTCACAGCAACGATAGCGCCATGGTTCTTACATATGTTATAGGGGGTGGGATGGGGACACAAGTGGTACGTGATAGGAACTGATAACGACTGATAATAGCTGATAAGAGGGGCTAGAAAGCGAGCATCGCCAATTTCGTTTGTCGTTCATATTGGTACTAGAAGCGTCTATACTTACAAGTGTTATGTGGGGTGTCCCGGACAACGGTGGTACATGAACGGAAGCGATAGCAACTGATAAGGGGTGATAAGGGGCGTCAGAAGGCAAAAGTCGTCGATTCCGTTACTTGGCTCGCATTTAGACCAGAGCAACCATGCTCACAGGTGTTATGTGGGGTGGACGGGGACATTGTTGGTGGGTGATTGGTTGATGGAAGTGTGACAATGATTAAGGTCTGATAAGCGGTCAGGCAAAGTCGCTCGGTTCCATTACATGCTGCTATTGACACAGAAGCAACGACATTACTTTGGTATGTTGGGGGTGGACTGGGCATTTGTTGGTGGGTGATTAAGTGCTGGTTACAACTGATAAGGGCTGATAAGGGGCGTCAGAACGCAAAAGTCGTCGATTCCGTTACTTGGCTCGCATTGACACCAGAGCAACCATGCTCACAGGTGTTATGTGGGGTGGGACGGGGACATTGTTGGTGGGTGATTGAAAGTGGTTACAACTGATAAGGGCTGATAAGGCGCGTCAGAACGCAGAAGTCGTTCTTTTTTTTTTTATTGGATTGTTTGCGTCTTGAGCGACGTTGATTTGGCTTCGTTCGTCTACTTATTGTCTGATGTTTGTGTGATTTTAGTCTGGTTCGAGGTGTGTTGATTGATTCTATGTATACTTGCACTTAATAGTTGCGATTGTTATATTTTCCAATCACGTCTTCGCCAATGATACTTCTTCATCGGAAAGCTCAACTCATAAACCGCCAATCCTTTCGGGGTTCTAAATAATAAATGATAAGCCTTAGCTCTTCACTTATGTAAACAGCATATTTCATTCTCCTTTCGAAACTGACAGCAAAAGATTCACCGCTAAATTATCTGAATGCAGGAAGAATGGTGGATGTTTACAGTTGTGAGAAAAATATGCCAGCTTAGCTCCAGTCGTTATCACGCGTATTCTTGATGGGAAAGTCTACACATGCCATAGTGAGGTGCTAATGCGAGGAGCCTCATGCTATTTCAGGGGTCTTAGTCCAAAGTTGTGGGCCTGGCGTGTGATTGGCTCGATTTTCAGACCGGGCGACAATGTAGGTTATAATTCGTGAAATTTCCAGTCGTACCACTTGAGACATTTGTTTGGAGGCTTTCATCACCTGTTTTCTGAAATCCGGAGAGCAGCTTTAGTCGTCGTTTACAAAGGGTATTTTCTTCGTAGTCACTGTCACGAGCGAACGAGTCCACTATAACGACTGCTGCACTCTGTATACGAAATTTTGGCTAAGATCTGGTACTATACTGCAGGACGACGTTGATAATGGCATAGAGGACAAGTTCGAGGAGAGGTTTATCAAAAGCAAAGACTTGGAAGAATTAAAACAAATCCCTCATCATGTGACACTAACCAATGGACCGTTTCCTCACGGTTAGCAAGGCCTGCTTGTTTTGATTTTCAAGAGTGGATAAAAAAGGATTGTTAGCTAGTATTTGGACCAAGTACATTTTATTGCTTTTAGTGCCAATTGATATGAGAGAAGGAAGCAATGACTTAGTGCTTTTCAATTACCTGTTCATGCAATTTTTGGAAAACACACATCAAATGCATCGCGTCAGAGTGCCTGATGTTGATCCGTGCTTATTACGTCGTATGGTTCTTCAGGCGGGTTATTTTCAAATCAATTTCAATTCAACTTCATAAAGCATCTATTATTTGTCGTATCAGCATATCATATGTGGAAGAGGGCATTTGAATAACAGCAGGGTAACGAATGCTTTAGGCGTTCGAGGGAAAAAGGAACATCTCTGACATTGGAGGCGATCACTTGAGCCCGTTGGAATTACGAAAAGTTTGCAATGCGTTAGCTTCCACTCTTCATATGTATCGTAATCAGGTACATTTGCCGATCTTGCTGAACGTAATCCTGTTGCAGTGGCGCGCCCTATGCACGAGTTCTTGCCATGAAGAAGGAATTGGTGAGCAAGGAAAAGAATATGCAAAACGAAAGTAAAAGCAAGAAATTGAATTGGCGAGCCACTTCCATTCGTACGAGCTGCGAGAACTAACAATAAGTCCTTGAACATGAAGCAGTCAGCTCCCAAATCGAAAGTTTGAGTTTATTCTATGCAGAAACAATGTTGTGAGAGAAGTTGTAGTGAAAGCACCACACCGGCTGACGCCCAAAAGCCCGCTTCTCTTGACCTTCCCCTTAAGAACTCCCATAACGGATTTCAAGCAGATGCACTATGATATGATGCGTAACATGTGTGGTGAGGAGTTTGTTATGTAATTTTTAGTGTATTTGTGTGTAAGTACTGTGTATGGTTTGTATAGTTGGCGCTTCCCCGCTAATTTAAAGGCAAACCCCGGGACTAGCCCGACTAGGGGAAGGATACCGCTTGGGAAATTGTAAGGTCCGTACGTAACTGGATCACTCCAGCTTCGTCGCAAAATTGCGC